GAGAGTACCCGGGATGCGACCTTGAATGTCCGCCAATGTTTGAGCCATTTGACCCATTTGTCGCTCCATTGCCAAAATGGATGATTGCACATTATTGTTGAGGGCCAATTGGTGTTGAATGTGGGTGCTTGTATGTGTCACAAATTGATCTAACCCCTTCATATTGTTGTCCGTTTTCTGCATGTGGGCAAGAATCAATTCTTCAAGATTTGACTTCTTCTCCTCTCGAGGTTGTTGAGGTTGAAACCCAGGTGGTGGGTTGTTGGGACGAATTCCAGTGGTGTTGTTATTTGACCATGAAAAGTTTGGATGTTTGCGCCATCCCGGGTTGTAGGTGTTGGAGTAGGCACCGCCTTGGTTTCTTTGATTATTGATAAATTGAACTTCCTCCAATTGGGCAGCTCCTATGGGGCATTGTTCTCGATGATGAGCACCTTCACACAACTCACAAGAAATAGTTTGGTCAGCGGAAACGAGAGAGAGGTTGGCCACTCTCCGTTCAAGTGCATCGAATTTGGCATCCAGCTTGGCTTCGACCATGGAAAGCATCTAAGCTGACTTATGCTGGTAGGGTTCAGTTGGTAGCATCAGTTGTTTACAGCTTAATGCAATTCTGGATGGCTATATTTTTACTTCCCAAGCAGATTATCGTCAGAATCCAGAAAGTTTGCTCTGACTTTCTATGGCATGGTGATGAAACTGGAAAAGCTAAGGTTGCATGGAAATTCATTGCGTTGCCAAAAAAGGAGGGTGGTCTGGGTCTCAAAGACTTAGAGACATGGAATGTAGCATGTGTGGCTCGATTATTGTGGTTGATTTTAATGCAGGGTAGCCTTTGGGTTGCTTGGATAACTAAATATCACTTAAAGGGCATGTCAGTTTGGGATATCAAGCCCAACTCAGCTGGCTCCTGGGTTTGGAGACGACTGCTTAAGATTAGGCCCTGGTTCCAATTTCGTTTTACTGTTTTGGGGCCAGGCCATGTATGTTGGGAGGGCAAGCAGATGGTCAAATTTTCTGGTAAGCAAATCTGGCGCTCAATCCGCATTAAGCAGCCAATTGTTGATTGGTATAAGGTGTTGTGGGGAAACTTTTGTGTTACAATGTATCAATTGCTTACGTGGTTAGTAGTGCTAGATCGAATAAAGACTAAAGATAAGCTATTGGAGTGGGGTATTGTTGATAATGATGTTTGTGTTCTTTGTGGAGACTCTAGAGAGACAAGGGATCACCTTTTCTTCTGTTGTCCATACTCGTCTGTTGTTCTTCTGCAGTTTTTCCCAAACATTAGCTAGCTAACATCGTGGCAGGGCTGTCTGCAACAAGCTTGTGCGATGGTGTAGCAGCGGGGGGAGATGGGACTTCTCTATGGTTCTGTATGGTGCTAGATTGTTGGGATGCTATGGAAGGAAAGGAATCTGCGAGTGGGTGGGAATCAACAGAGGTCTAGTCAAGCCCTTATACAAGTTATACGTAATGAAATACATTTGTATACCTTAGGTAATTTGCAGTTTGGTTTACTTTTACCTGCTAGTGGGATGTACTGGAGGTAGGTAGTATTCTTAGTTTCCATGTAAGTGTGGACAGGTTCTGTTTTTCGAGAGCTTGATCAACTTGATCAAAGCCGCGCTTAAATAAAAATAGAGATCCAATTACCGGGGGAAATTAGAAACATAAATCGACTGTTATTATTCGTTGAAATATATACAACAAATTACATGCACAATCGGGGTTAGCCTCTACGGCTCTATGATTTAGATGAGTAACACCTATGGTTCACTCATCTAGGGTTAGGGTATAGTATCATGTCCAGAAATCCAGTTAATTCGAGGTCTAGATAGCGTTTTTTTACTTAGGGTATGTCGTACCCTATATTTTAATCAATACCGATATTTTTTCCTACATACACACGTTCTTTTCTTAAGTTGTTATGATTGAATAACAAATAATTTAACGTATATATAATGCATAATCAACTCAATCCAACACAAGTTTACAATAACACCATTCTACCATAAATTTGATTAAAGAAACAGAAAGAGACATAACAACAATTACTCAACTTATAAACCCCACCAAATTACACAGAAACTTAAATGTTATCGATTACTATTGAGCAACTGTGCGAAAGTCCAACTTTTTTATGTGCTACTTCTAAAGCCATTCCTTACAGTTATTCTCATTTGAACCTAAATCACTATTACAAATAGGGTAAACAAGAGTTCTTGTATGCCTTAAAACATCTCACAGCCTATGCATGCGGCTCATCAAGACCAATTATTTCCGGCTCAAACTATGAGAATGGTCGTAATCGGTTAGTTGTTTAATTGTTTAACCGTTTAACCCTCAGTTTGAAATTAGCTAAATTATACTAACGAGAACGGATCGTTCACTGATTAATTGGATACTTGTATAACCGTTAATCTCTAGTTCAGTTATCAGTTACCCCACTAAGAGGATAACCGTATACTAGCCCTAGTCTCCACTGACTCCAATTACACATGTTTGATGCCTAGTTTTACACTATTTGTCACCAACTTTTAAAATTTTATTTTTATTTAAAGTTAGTTTCGCAAAGAATTGTGTTTAGGTTTAAACTTATAAATGAATTATGTTTAGTGTCTAAACTTATAAATGAATTTTTTTTAATTTCTAACCTAAGAAATTAATTTTTTTAGTGTTTAAACTTAGAAATGAATTTTGTTTGGGGTTTAAATTTGGAAATAAATTATATTTAGTGTTTAAATGGACAAATAAATCATGCTTAAAAACATTAATTATTTCATTGTGCTTATTATTTTTTTTCATTTGGAAATAGAAAAATTTTATCATTTAAATTTAGAAATAAAATATGTGTAGCATTTAAATTTAGAATTAATTATGTTTATTGTTTAAATTTAGAAATAAATTAGGTTTACTCGAAAAAGTGCAACAAGACGATTCAACAGGAAGAAGAACCAACTCAACTACCAATTACAACAAAAAAAGACGAACAAGCATCTAACCCCACCCCCAAAAAAAAACCTAAACCCTTCTTTTCCACAAACACCAATCTTCTACATTGATCCATCCAATTCTCGTACGAAGCATCTTAGAAGTCAAATCATTCAAATCTCTAGTAACAATAATTGTTCACCTCATCAAAATAATCATGCTAGTTCTTAGAAAATTCCTATTTCAACCCCTAGGGCTTCCTGAAACATCGATGAGAGCTTTTGCACTATTCATGCTTTCTTCACCCGGGACCTCAAATCGAGAAATGTCAATTCTAGGGCATTTAGGGCCACATTTCAGCGGACCGATGAAAATTTTGTCTTCCTTACTGGTAGCTCAAGATATCGCCAAAAGACCATTTTATACTCAAACATCGCACTAATTATCGTAATTAAATTGTTTTTCAAACATAAATTATTTCAAAATTATACAAGTAATTAGAACATGTCGGTAGTTTGAGATATCACTAAAAGATCATTTTGCAATTAATAAGCACACTAATTATGGTCATTAAACATAAGTTATTTTCAAACATAATTTATTTCTTAATTATATAATTTAAAACCACAATGAAGTAATTATAATAATTAAATGTATTTTATTATAAATTTAAATACTAACATAATTTATTTATAAATTTAATTAATAATATAATTTATCAATGAATTTAACATTAAATAGAATTGTTTCTCTTTTACAATAGTTAAGCTCATGCAAGTATTATATCATTAATATGTGCAATGAACTAATTATGATAATTAAATATAATTTATTTATTTGGTGAGTTCTATGGTACCCAAGGTGAAATTCGGGGTATCGCATATCATGAATATGAAAACGTTATTAATACCTTGAATTAAATGATCTTTCGGACATGATACTATACTCTAAATATCAAAATCTAGGTCAAAATCTAAAGATCAAAATATAGGTCTTATTCTCTAAATCTTGTACCCCAAGATCAATTTAATTAGAAACAAAAATCGACGGTTATGATTCATCCAAATATAGGAAAGAAAATAAATGCACCATCTTAGGGTTTATAATTTATGATTTAGATAATTAGGATCTAGGGTTAACTCATTGAGGGTTATGGTATAGTATCATGCTCAAAAATCCTACTAATTCGAGGTCTAAATAGCGTTTTCATACTCAAGGTATGCGATATCTCGGTTTTCACCCGGGTACCGTAGAATCCACATTATTTGTAAATGTAAACTCCACATATAATTTATTTACAAATTGCACAATTAATAATTGCAATAAAACGTAAATACACCAAACAATCACAAAAAAGTGGTACGACTCTTTTTGGCAACGATGAAATACGCGTCCCTAAATATGGTCGTCTCTCACCGGCCTCCCAATTTCATTTTATTCGGTCGGCACGTTGTCGAGCTGAAGAATTCTCGCCTCCGGAACCTGGCCGGGCCATAGGATTTCTTCGGACGAGACGTGATCATCATCCATTTCCTTTGGTCCAGCATACCTTTTGCGATTGTTTGTTTCGCTACTGCTTCTTAACCGTCAGTAAAGCTAGTCGTCTACAACAAAAAGAGACTGTTCCTTGGTATTTTGGGACGAAAATTTAGAAAGAGTTTCGCGACCGGCGCTAAGTACGGCCATGTACCTGGAGCCTAAGAGCATCCACATTGATATTGTATTTTCAACTGCAAAATGACATGGCATAGACGTTTGCAATTGCAAAACTAATTGCATTGATATGACTATCAATTGCATATTTGCAAAGCTTGCAACAAATGTAATTCAATATGCAAGTCAAAAAAGCCTTAAAAAATGGGGATTTTATATTTTATATTATTTTCTTTTATCTTTTACTTAATTTTATATAATTTAAATATAACATTTAATTATATTTGCAATTGCAAGTTAATTGCATTGATGTAGGTGAATGAAATGAATGTGATATGGATTGCAAAAAATTTAGGTTGACTAATAAAAACAAAAAGACAATTTCTTTTACAATTGCATTGATGGAGATGCTTTAAGTGCCTAACCCTTCCGAGGCACCCTTCCGACAAAGATGCAGAATTTATCGACGCTGAACGTGCTCAGAGATTGGCCAATTTCTTTTTAGACACCACATAAATGATCACATACTTGACTGGTAAGCAGCAACAAGCGAAACACGTACTTAAGCAAACTACAAGAACCAAGTCTATGCTGGTAACTAAAAGTTACTGCACGGATTAAGGGAGACGAGTGCACGACGACTAGACTGGTGTTCCCACCCCCTGTTTACATGTCCCAAACCATGGGGAGGTTCCACTGAGCCTAGCAACAATACAAAACATAGTCAGTCAAACAGATAGTGGAGACCGCAGCAGCATTACACAGAAACCGGCACTCAGTACTGGCTCCTTCTAGAATTTGCCCGGCTGTGAACCACCTGCATTGCAAAACCATTTCCAAACTAAGGAGGAAGCACGGCACAATAAAGATAGCAGCAGGAGATAATTCTCATACATGTGGCTTGCATGCTATGAAAATGTTATGATGCTTCACAGAGAGCAGACACATCCATTCAGTTCAACTTGTAAGATTCACAAGATAAACTATGCAGAAGAGTAAGTGAACGTAGAAACTGAGCAAGATGTTATGACCTGATCAGCTCGAACTCCATGACTTGACGATGATGACGATGGTTCTTCTGCCTGATCACCCTACCAATAAAACAATGACACGCCATGTTGAGAGTAATGTTCCACAAAAGAGTATTGGTGAAACAAAACCAAGTTGAATTTACCTGGTTGAAGTGATTGTATCTTGATTGCACAGGAACCCCCATCTTCTGAAGCATAAGCTCCATGTTTGAGTTCATCCTATCAATCTGCGCTTCCATTGAGGTATACTTTTGCTCCATTACCTCGACTTTACTGCAAACTGCCTCAACTTTATTAAAAATCTTGTTTGCCTCCTCATCAGCTTGCCTTTTGGTTTCCATGGCCATTTTTGCAAACTGGATATGGCCACACTTTCTTCCCCAAAGAGTAGCAGGGCTAGGTCCTCCTAGACCATACATGCTCACATGCTTTTTATTTCCTTCGTCTGTAACTTTGAAGAAAGTGTCATGAGAACTATCACTGACTTCAGAATTTTGCTGCCTCCGACTAGTTTTTTCTTGCAATTTTTCCTGAGACAAAAGGGAAAAATACCAAGTCTTCATGTTGTAACTCATAATTATAACCACTGATTTATTAACTGAGTGACATTCAGAACATACAAATACTTCTGCAGCATCCTCATTTACAGGATTTCCATCCTTTCGTGTATGGGTCAGCACAAACAACTCTGCCCTAGTAGGAGTCTTCCCATCCGCCCTTTTTGCACGCTGCTCAAAATGCACACAAAAAAGAAAATACCACAAACATTAGCATTTGAACAAATAGTAACTACATGAGTGTGCAATTTAATTTCAGCGACGGACCTCTTCCTCTCGTATGGTTGCGTAACTCTTTGAGCCGGAGGTGTGTGAATGCTTTACATGAGCACGATTTGCCCTATTCCTAGCACAAAGCAACTATAAAAAGAAACATCATTTCAGCTTCTGACTTCATAAAAATACATAATTATGTTGGACCTCATTTTCCCCCTACCCACATGACATACCTTCACCTCTTCCTTGTTCCAATAGGATACGAGGCTCGGCCACTGGTCTGGAATGACTCTTTTGTCGAGATTCCTCATGCGTTCCTCGTCAGTCTTGCATGAGAAATAATATGTTTTCAACCTTGATTTCCAGCTCTTCCATTTTGAAAAAAGAGACTTCATGACCCAAGATTTTGCCATGGGATCAATCTCGAACTTTGCCTTCAAAAGACGAAGAAAAGGATAAATTTAAAGACAATGAATCAAAGGTCGCAGAAATTGTACGCCTTCAGATATGCTCCTCTCCATATTTCGGCAATAAATAATCTGGCTTCAAACCAGTTACCTGAACCAACTGCCACATGTTTTCCTTGTTTGCTTTTGGCAATGCAGCCCATTTCACATAGTTAAGGGGAGCCAAGGTACCATCCCGTGCCAGGGTGCCCAGAAATGAAGCCAGCTTTCTTCCTTCAGAGCCAATTGGTTGTCCCAAATCATTAAGGTGAACAACCATTTTGCTACCATCAGGCATGTCCCACACAAAACGACACCGGGACGGGCCTCGTACTCGCCTCTTTGAGCTACGAATGGCTGCTAATGGACTGTCTGGGCTGCTGGAATTCCCAGAATACTCATGCTGGGCTGGATTATGAAAGGAGGGGGTCACAGTTCCCATCTGATAACCATCCCATTCAACTTGTCTCTCGCCCCTCAAGCCATTCTCACCTGACAAGCATGAGTTGATAACTTAAATAAGTGAAAAAGGCTTGTTAGACTGAAGGACAAGCACACAAGATAGTTAGAAATCTCATCACATGGCACAGCTGTTACTCTTTAGACTATCCAGTCGAGATAAACTACATACAGCCTAACAAATGCCCATATAAGTTGTCTGCAAAAGGTGTACCTGAAGTACACTACAGAAGACAAAGATACAGAAGAACGATAGGCAAGATAGGGACAAAAGAGAAGCATACCTCCAGCATGTGAAGCTGTAGCAAACTGCTCAGAGTGTTGTGGCTGTGCAATGCTTCCCTCATGTATCTGGGATACATGTCGCTGGCTTTGACTTGCTGGAGGTGGTTGTGGTTGAACTTGATTCTGGCTGATAACTGTGGGGTTAACTGCATCTGTAGACAGAAAGCCATTTTGCCCCAAATTACTCTTAGTGAACGGCCCATCTGGAGATCCTACGTAACAAAGGAAACAGAATTCCTTGTAAGTGCATAATGCAACATCAGCATTACAGCTCCAGCATTATAAGAACCTGGAGAGTTTATATTCACATACTTGCCCCATCATTCTCTGGAACAAGAGACCGAGCTGGTTGCTGTTGACTAACACTCTGCCCACGACGTCGCAGGTAATATATGCTTGAATTTGGCTGATGCTTGGAATGGCTGGACTTAGTCATCCTGGGAGTCTGTGCATCTTTTGTTTGTTTCCTAGCAGAGTTTGGTGAGGGTGCATACGAACGTCCTGCAAAAAAAATGACCATCATGTAGAAGACCGCTTAGATCATTCATATCAATGCAATTCATTTACAATTTCAGATGTGACCCCTATTCTTGCCTCAACAACTTTAGTAATCACATTACTTCCTAAATTTTCATACCAATTCACATCAATACAATTCATTTCCAATTACAATTGGTGGACCTTCGGAATCGTTCGGAAGTTTGGTTTTTTAAATCTATCCCTCCTATGTATATTTTTCCTCATCATGTTTTATTAATAAAAAATTACTCTACCCACAGCAAAAGGGAATTGATAAATATTGGTTAGGGGTATCAAGCTCACTTTACCTTTAAAATCACAATCCAGTAACAACAATGCACCCCAAGAAGTCCAACACCCAAAAGTTTGAAAAGTGTTAAAATCCATCACTCCCCAAATCCATGGATTTCGTACATTCCATCACTTTTAAATCTCATCCATACAGTCCCTACATGTTTTCTCAATACAAATCCATCGTACAACTACATCCATACAGTTTGTATAAATCAAATTAGAAAAAAGAAATCAAAATTATATGTGGCATTACAAAGTACATCGCCGCTTTGCAATAGAGACCACTCATGCAATTGCCAATTAATTGCCATGTGAACGTTGCAATCAAATTGAAATTGCCAATGCGGGTGCTCAGTGCTCTTAAGCACAAGCTGCCAAGAGGAACAATATTATTTAAAAAAAACTCCCACTTGGAGATGAGTAGATGAACCAAACTATGAAAAGACTCCACTTAAGTCCGCAGGTTTCGACTTGAAACGGTTATCTTCTCACTCTTTTGCAGTTCGATAATATGGGAGAGCAATTTGTAACTGGTTGTTCTCAACCTTCACAGATCATCGACGCGCAAAGATAGCATAATTAACAACTAAGTAATTCAATAACTTGTAGAACTAGATACCTGCATCATTTGCATTGATTCTGGACTGCAGCTGTGACAAATCATTGGTGGTTGGCTGCAGTGGAGGAACCTGGGCCTTGTGACTATAGCTTGATGGAGGCACCGGAGCCTGGTGACTGTAGCTTGATTGGGTGACCCGAGCTGGTTGCTTTTGAGTCGGGTTATCAACAAGATTCGCTGCACAACTAGCCTCACAACTGGTGCGTCCCGTCCTGTGATTGGTACTAGGTGCAAACTCAGGTTGTCCTTCACAATTTAATTGAATATAAGCAATACTTTCAACATTAGCACCAAGGTAATGCAATGATACAATTAAAAACAGCAAGGGCATCATAGATTTTAATGCACTCCAAATGCATGAGTGACAAATCATGAAATATATAACACCAAAGACAGAAGAATGGTTGGTCATTCTGCGGCCAAGACCATTTCCATGAACATGACAGGAATTCAAAAGACTGCCAGCATAAACTGATTATCAGAGCAACCAAAGACCTAAGAAAAACTTCAACATAGCGAAAATATACCTGTAGTCTCTTGCATTTCAGTACGCAAGCCAGCTGCTGTCCAGTATTTCAGAAACTTCTTCCTCACTCTCTTCATAAGGTATACAATATAATCACCTTTCTTGTTATACTTCAAACAATGCGCCCAAATGCACTCCACGTCCTTGTATACGTCATCAGCATTTAGGTACTTGAAACCATTCTGAAGATTGCTGCATATTGTTCCAAAATCCATTGGTGCATCTCTTGCATCAATACGATTCTGCACATGAACACAAAAAAAAACTCCATCTAAAACCACTATATGGATGTAAGAGAAGTAGAAAATAGATTTACATCATTAATTAAGAACAATAGCATCATGCTGCAGTAACATCAGTTGAAAGTCATATTAAAGAGCATTCACTTGGTTGAGATAGAAAGAAAGATTCGATCTTGAAAATTTGTATTAATTTCTGAATGCCAAGTCATGTAATAGCAACAACTATCGCATGCACCTGCTTAAAACAAACCTGACATATACTCTTCTTGTCCAAAACACGAACGAACATTATGAAGAAACAATGATCTTAGTATTGTGCATTGGCTCCAAATCAGCTTACAATATTGTTGTTTATTTTGGCTCATCTACTCATCCCCCTTTGAAAGATTTTAAAGATTATGTTTGCTGGTCAATGACAACAGTACCAACTTTCTATAGACTCTGCTAAGTAGTTTAAAATATACTGTCGTAGTCAGTCAGTAGCTCGTATACCAGCTACCCCATTCAAGGCATCGAGATCTTGAATATACGCAATACAGTAAGTGCACGTAAGCATTCGTGATGGATTATCTAGTTTCACTTTGCCCTTACAATGCAAAAAGAGAACTGTTCATACTTACAGGAACAGGATCGACAGGAGCGCTGAATGATGCAGCTTCATCCATATCCATTATCTTCTTAATGATCTTAGAACCACATAAAAGAAAAAAAGGATTATCAGCAAGTCGAGTAAACATATAATGTAATCAACTAATCATACAACTAAGATTAGAAAACATGGGGAGAGAAACTAGTCATAAACATACTGCAAATGAAGTTTTTAGTTCCGTCTCGTTGTATCGGGGATCCTGGCACGACTTCTTTGATCTTTTTCTACTGCTCCAAGGATGCAACCCACTCAATGAGGTAGCCTGCAAATTGCTAACACTCTTTGTGGCATCCCCTTCTCTAGGCCGACCACGTTTGCGCCCTGATTTATCACCACCCCACCAGTCAGTTCCTGGAACGTCGAAGCCACTAATATTATCTTCAACATTGAATGAGTCACCTCCACTTGATGAAGAAGAAGACGAATAAAAGCCAGGGCCAGAGCCCATTCCACGGAGCCCGAGATCCTTAGATTTGTCCAGCCCAAGGTTTTCTTGGGCAATCTGGCCGACAAGGTTCAAGAATGCCTGCTTATTGGCATTAAGTGCTGCAGCTGCAGTCAAAGGGGCTGAAGCAGCAGATAGAGTTGCTGTGCAGCAGCAGCAGCAGCAGCAGCAGCAAAAGGTTGTGTGGCAGTATGATGCTCGGGTGAGGTGGCAGTTGGAGGAGCAGCAGCAGAAGAAGCTCCCTTCTGTACATTCTTCTTTGGGCGTCCAGCCCTCCGCTTGGTTCTCATTACGATGAAGAGAACTCAATCAGTGCGCCTTATCTCGGTTCCCTTGGAGGGTTCTTCGCTGCTTAACCTGTCATCAAACCCAGAAGCTTGCAGCTCAGTAACTAAGAATTTCTTACTAGAAAGGTGAAACCAATGTCCTGCTGCACTGACCAAACAAGTAAATAAATAAGTTACTCAGTCCTAAGTCTTCGATTCTAGTGTTCCTAGGGACATACAGAAAGCTCAAACGCCAGAACGGCAGAACTACAGCTCCCCCTTTGCTATCTCGAGCCGTATCAGACGAAAAGATAACGAATTACATCAAAGCGAAAAGCAAGAAGCTCAAAACCAGAAAAGGGGTGGAAGGAGGTACCTTTGAGTAGGGAGCTTAGAAGACCAATAATGCCGGAACTAGGGTTTTGAGAACTGGAGGAATGGGATCTACATCTACGGTAGTAAGCAAAAGAGTAGATGGGCGTTCATTGGGAAGTTAGGGCTGGCGGGAGATCTTGTGGTGGTGGTGGTGAAGTTGGGAAGTCACAAATCTGGGAATCCCGTCGCAATTTCTTTTTCGAAGTTGGTCTCCAATTTGCATTCGCATCACTCTCGCTGATTTTATCGCTGGTTTTATGGCACCAAGCAGATTTCCTTTTGTCACCAAAAATAAATAAAAATGGTACAACCAAATTTACTCTGTTGGTTAAATATTTTAAATAATAACAATTTTTTTTGAATATTAATAATAACAATTTGAAGTTGTAGGTTTGAATCTCTATAGGAGCAAGTTGTGATATTTTTATATACATTAACAAATAATCTAAGAAATTATATACATTATTAAATAATTTAAGAAATCGTGTAGTTTTCTTCTTTTACTGAAAGGAGAAACAATCAGTCATCATTTTCATGGCAATATTATTATTAGAAGTAGAATTTTTGGTTCAACCATATGATTTTATAGTCCCTCTAGAGATATCAGATAGTGAAGGTCGATTTTATCCTTGCTTTAAGGTATATATATTAGTGATATTAAATTGTTGTAAAAATGCAGAATTTTTGTGTACTAACATAATAAGTTAGTATATGATTGTGTTAGTGCTATTGACGGAACTCACTTTTGTGCTAAAGTTTTACTAGAAGAAGCATCAAGATATAGGGGTAGGAAATGAATCTCCACAATGAACATATCAATAGCATGCACATTTGACCTAAAGTTCACCTATATCTTGACCAGATGGGAAGGGTCAGTTTCTAATTCAAGAATATTGGACAATACTTTAATAAAGGATGACAAACTAAAAGTTCCTTCATGTAGGTGGTAGTGAGAGATTAAAAAAATGTGCTTGGTCATTTTGTTAATGAGCTAATACTCCATAAAAAAATATTTCTCCTGTTTGAAATATAGGTAAATTTTACTTGGTTGATGATGGTTATGCTCATAAATATGGATTTATCGCACCATACTAAAACACAAGATACCATTTAAAAGTGTATCCTCGTTGTCTTATGGTGAACTCAAAAGAGTTGTTCAATCTTCGACATGCACCATTATGTAATGCAATTGAGAGGGCTTTCGGTGTATTGAAAATGAGATTTCCCATTATCGATATTGGTTTAGAAGCTCATCATGATGTCAACCCACACGTTCTGAAATCGTGCTTGCTTGTTGTATTTTGCATAACTTTCTTTTGATGTATGATCGTGATAAAGATATTCTTCGTGAGGTTGATAAAGAATTGATGGAAAATAGTGTCGAAGAATAAGAGAGTGGATATGATCAGGGACAGAGACAACTTGTTGGCAAGGGAGGCCATTTTAAAACTTATGTAAATTGCATGTACAAACACGAGAAGATTGTCTAAGTGGTTAGTCTGCTAGCTTAGATTTCATTGTTTGTGGTAGGTCAGAACTTCAACTCACAACCTTGTATAATTTTTATTGAAGATCTTCTGCTAATATCTTTACTATGTGTATAAGCTTTCTACAGATCTCTTGCTCTATCGGTTGAGCCTAGACTAGAGGAAAGTAGTTTGACCCACACAGTTACCACTTTTTAATGAATGGTTTGCTAATATTTAGTTTTTCCTTCCTAGTTTGATTAACTTTTTGTTTGACAATTGGTACATCCAAAATATTATTACTTTTGTGAAAATTTGATTTCATTTCTTCGTTATAAAATATATTATTGCTAATATTTAGTCTTTCCTTCTTAGTTTGATTAACTTTTTGTTTAACATATATAAGTATTGGTACATCCAAAATATTATTACTTTTGTGAAAAATTGATTTCATTTCTTCGTTATATAAATATATTAGTGGTTTGTTCTTTAAGAGTTTAAAAAATTACATGCTTTTTATAGTTTAAATATTTATTCAAATAAATCATTCAATAAAATTCGGTCAAATTGGTTAGTTTTGTAGTGTTTGTCAATAATTTATTGACATATTTTACCTTAAGAGAGTGCGAATCGTGGTGACTGAGGTTTTTCCGTGCTTTCTCGTCGCCGGCTCCGGCATCTGCGCCGGAGCAGCTCTATTTCCCCCTCTTTCCTGTTTTCTTATGAGTGAGGCTAGTGCGACGGTTCCTCCTTCGGCTTCAGAGACGTTGAATGGTGATTCTCGGGGGATTCCTTCGAAACCCTGGGTGTCGTTGTTTGGCATCTCTGAAGCCAACCGCCTTACCTATATTCCACCTGAGGTCGTGAATGGAGGGTTGAGGATGCCTAAAGATGTTCGTGAAGCTGGTGCGGCTTGTTGGAAGCACAGCCTAGTGGGACAATTCCTTCAAGATCCGCCTCCGCTGTATTTTGCGTCGATGGGTCAACAAGCTTTGGGGACGCGACGGATTGGTTAGGGTTTCTCTGTTGTACGATAAGATGCTGTTAATTCAGCTGCCAAATCAGAGGGTGTGTGAGTGGATTCTGGAAAATGGTCCATGTTTTTGGTTTAATAACTTACTGTATCTTCGTCCTTGGGTTCCTGGTATTAGTTTTGAGGATTTGGGAAGAAAAGCTTTACCGATTTTGGTAAGCCTATCGAATGTTCCCCTAGAGTATAGTGATTTCCAGGGGCTGAGCATAATTGCAAGTTGGGTTGGGGTTCCGTTGGGTATGGACCATACTACAAGGATGGGGGATAGACATGGGTTTGCTAAGGTCCTGGTAGAGCTTACAGTTGAGAGTGAATATCCAGATCACGTTCTTCTGTGGCTTGATGAAGACTCGTCCATTCGTATTGGGATCACCTATTGTAACTTGCCCCCATATGTCCTGTATGCCAGCTGTTTGGGATTACAGGTACATGTGCTGAACATCAAGGGAAGCAATGGGTGGCTAAGCCAATACACAGTGAGAAGGGGATTACAATTCAGGGGCAAGAGAATGAGAATGATTTTGTGACTCAGAAGGTGAATTTGGATCAATAGGTGACAAGTGGTAAAGGCAAGGAGGTGGTGATATATGATGATGACCCTCAACTGCAGGCCATCTTTACTACTCCAATTTCAATGGAAGGGGGCAAAGTGGCTCCACATAACTTGGATAAATCTTTCTAGGAGGTGGCTACTTCCTCTTCACCCAAATTACCCTCTGAAGATGAATTTCAAAGGGTGGTCAATGAAGCTAGACCTCGTGTCTGGCTATCTCCAGACAGTGCTAAGGGCATTCAAGTATCTAATTCATCCTTCAGTGTATTGGGGAAGTTGGGTGATAGGGAAGCAGGTAAGATGCAAGATGCTCCAAAGAATAAGGAGGTAAAAAAGGATGTGAAGAAGGGTGGGGGGAAACCCCAAACTTTTAGATGATTGTTTTGTTTTGGAATGTAAGGGGGTTTAATAAAACCTCCAAGCAGAGGGACTTGATGCAAGTCCTGCATAGGAATAAGGTTAATGTAGTTGCAGTTCTAGAAACTAGAGTTCAGGCCAATAAAGCTGAGGAGGAGTAGAGGAGGTATTTGTGGGATGGGAGAGATGTCTCAATTGTTTTGATTCAAAGCTGGGCGGGTCTGGCTATTTTGGGACCCTTCCATTAAACTTCATGTGATTCATCCAAGGAAAAATTTTGTTCATTGTTTGGTTGAAGATATAAACAAGGATACCTTCTTTCTAACTGCAGTATATGCATCTAATGATGAAGAGGAGAGGGTTCATACCTACAACGAGATTGCTCAGTTGAAGGTGATTGGTCATCCTTGGATCGTGAGAGGTGACTTCAACACAGTAAGATCCCCTCAGGAGACATCTAATCAGCGATCTGTTACTTCAAATATAGAGAGCTTTAATCAATGGATTGGTGAGATGGAGTTGGTTGATTATAGAACAACATGACCTCACTTCACATGGACCAACAGGCAGGCTCATCGTCCAAATGCTAGGCGACTAGACATGCGTCTGGTTAATGTGGAATGGATTGAGCAATTCAAAGACTGTGCTATATATGAAGGCTCTCCCTGCACTGTTCTCAGATCACTGTGGGATACAAGTTTGTACAACGGCTCCCATTAAGTCTCTGCCCAAACCGTTTAAATACTTTGAGTTTTGGGCAGAGCATCCACTCTTTATGGACATTGTTAAAGAAGCTTGGAGTCTTGTGGTTTCAGGAAACCCTTGGCAAGTCATTCAAAGTAAACTGTGTAGGGTAAAGCAGGCTCTGAAGAAGTTTAATAAAGAGGTCTATGGTAACCTACAGGATCAGGTGAAAGAGGCTGAGGATGAGGTGTTAAGAGCCCAAACCAAGGCATTCTCTGATCCTACTACTGAGCACTTTGAATCTGTTACTCAAGCAAGGGACCAATATGATCTTATATCTTCAGCGTTTAAAAGTTTCTGCTGGTAGAAATCCAGGGTGTTCTGGTTAACAGGTGGGGATCAAAGATCAAATTTCTTTCACCAGGCTGTCAAAATTTGAAACTCTAAGAGGGCTATAAGGAAATATGTTACAGATAAAGGGAGGAAATATTCCAATCTTCCCAGATTATTAATGAGGTCCTTGGATTCTATAAGAAACTTTTGGGAACGGCTAATTTAGATATTAATCCTAGCAGAGAGGAGGTGGAGAAGCTGGTGTGTCATCACTTACCTGACCCTGAGTGTGACCTCCTTGTTAAGGAAGTCACAGCTGAAGAAATAAGGAGTGTGGTTTTCAGCATGATCTCCCAGAAAGCACCTAGGCCAGATGGGTTTTCTTCTGGCTTCTATAAAAAGACTTGGTCTATTATAGGAGATGATATAATCAGAGGGATCTTATTCTTCTTTCAGACATGTACTCTCCCTAGTGGGATAAATGCCACTACTGTCTCTTTAATTCCCAAAGTGTCTAATGCTGATTCATTGAAGAACTTTAGGCCTATTTCATGTGTGAACCTTCTATTCAAAATAGTAGCTAAGATTCTTGCTAAGCTCATTAGTGATGTTATGCCTTTGATCATTAGTAATACTCAGTCAACATTTATCAAGGGCAGGAGCATAATGGATAATATCTTATAAGCCCAGGAATTAGTGAGTGGTTATAACATAACTCATTTGTCTTCTCGTTGTGCAATTAAAATAAATATCATGAAGGCATTTAACTTTGTTAGTTGCCAATACTTGTTTCGTATGATGCATGCTATGGGATTTTCAGAGAGATTTATGACCTGGATAAAGGCTTGCCTTCAGACTGCTCATTACAGTTTTAATATCAATGGAAGTCTATGTGGTTTCTTTAGATCTAGGAAAGGAGTCAGGCAAGGCGATCCACTATCGCCATACCTTTTTACTATTGCCATGGAAGGTCTATCGACCATGCTGAGAGCTGCTAGTCAGTCTGGTTTGATTCCTTTTCACCCTCAGTGTCAAAGAATTTCTCTAAACCACATGTGCTTTGCTGATGATATCCTGGTTTTCACTACTGGATCGACCCAAACAATTCTTCAAGTCAAAGAGGTCCTGCATAAATTTTATCTTCTATCTGGGCTTAAAAGTAACCCTTCTAAATGTGAAATCTATTTTGGAGGAGAGGCCATAAAATATAAGAGTAATGCACTGCTTCTTTCTGGATTCAGGGAGGGTGAGCTACCTGTCAGATATCTGGGGCTGCCCCTAATGTCTAGTAAACTATCTTCTACTGAAGTTGACATTCTGGTTGACAAGATTACTAAGAGGGTTAAATCCTGGAGGGCCAAAAAGCTAACCTATGCAGGAAGACTTCAGCTTATTAATTCAGTTATACTTGGAGTGGTCCAATACTGGATGCAACTTTTCGTGCTCCCAAAGAAAGCATTGAAGAGAATCCAGCAGGTATGTTCTCATTTTCTCTGGCATGAATGATGTAGGCAGAGCAAAGGTAGCATGGGATTCTATAGCTTTACCTAGAAGGGAGGGTGGACTTGGGATTAAAGATCTGTTGGCATGGAATCAAGCTTGCTCCACCCGCTTGCTCTGGTTGTTCCTTATGAAAGCTGGAGCTCTGTGGGTTGCATGGATGTATGAATACAGATGCAGGCAGGGGGATCTCTGGTCTTTTAAAGTACAGTTTTGTAGTTCATGGACCTGGAGAAGACTGCTTAAACTGAGAAGCATCATTCTCCCATGGATCCACCAGCAACCGGGCACCTTTTACTGGGATTCTCATGAATGCAGGTTTATTCTGTTCGAAGAGTGTGGGAAACTTTGCATGGGAGAGCTCTCGAGGTCACATGGCATTAGATTATTTTGAATAGATACCGTTCCCCGAGATATAGCATGATCTCATGGCTGATAATGCGCAATGCCATTACAACCAGGGATAAATTGCTACAGTGGGGAAAGATCATAGATGCAGCCTGTCCACTCTGTGGTATTACTGTGGAAAGTAGAGAGCACTTGTTTCTGAGATGCACCTACACTCAAAGGCTGTCTATGCTGATGCATTTATCTTTCCTACATTCTCCAAGTTGGGAGGCCATGACACAGAAAATAGTCGCTGCAACTCGAAGAGACTCTCAGGCAGGCCAGTGGCATGCTCTTGTATGGTGTCTTGCCGTATCTTTTATCTGGAAAGAAAGATGCAAAGTTGTTCATGGATCACCCCTCCGTGACCCTGAAGCTCTTGCTGGTCTTAGCAGGGCAGACCTTTCGTTTTTATCTTGTGGAAACAGGGTGATCCGAGATGCACTTGCACGCTTGAGATACTTATAGCCTTTGTTACTAGTTTGTAAGTAGCAGTTTTGTTTCTTTTACAGTGAGTGAGAGGGAATAGCTTATAGCCCTTTTAGGGTTCCACTTCGTTGTATCGGTTACCTTTTTATTCGAGCAATGAAAGCAACTGATTCAACGGGGGGGGGGGGGGGAATTGACCCTCTAATTTGAAATCCTGGCTCCGTCCCTGGATATAATAATGGAGATGCATATGCTACGATGACATAACAAATTAGAGACCACATAGCATTCTAGATGTGGAGTAACTATAGTTTGAGATGTTAGCTACCTCTCCTAATTGTGTTTTTCATAGTTCTTGAAACACCTTTTGTTTACTATATTGAATATTGTTGTCTCCAATGGAAGTTTTTTCATGTACTTAGTTCTTAAGCATTCTCATGTATTTTGTATTTGTTTAATGGTTAAAATATAGGGTTAATACTCTAGTTTAGGGGTGCTAAATGGTAATGCGGTTAACGGTTTAACCGGTAACCGTACCGATAAATGCAGTTACCGGTTAAACCGTTAACCGAAGCAAACGGTAATCGGAGGAGGAATTGTTGCTAGCGGTGTACCGTGATCGGAACTATCAAATACCGCCGGTCGCTCGGTATTCCGACACCGAATGGGAAATGGCCATTTAGCCGTAAACGACTAGGATTTCTAACCAAACGTCGGCCACCCAACCTAAGTAATTAGACTGTCTTTTCCCTGTCTATTATTCTATTTGCTTGCATTGCTCTTTCTTAGTTTCCCCTGCCTGGCTGCCTGCTACACACTGCCGTCCGCCGATCCCTACTCCGTTCATCGACTCCAAAGGGCAAGAGACACTACCCAGCAGGCAGCAGCCCTCATCCAGCCATCCTCTCTGCCAGGCTCTATTTCCTTCAAGCCCCTTCGTCGTTGCTCTATTTTCGTCGAACCCCGTCGCCGTAGCCCGTCGGAGTTTAATCGCTCGACCGTACAGCCCAACAGCTCGTCTTCTACAGCTCTCCGTCGATTTGACTTTTGAGAGGTAACTTGTGTAGCCGAGTTTCATTCATTCAGTTTCATAATTAATTAATCATAGGTATTTCCGAGTTTGTGTTATTGTGTATAATGTATTAATGTGTACCCTTGTTAGTCGTAGGCGTAGCCAAACAGAGAAGCAGCGAAGGCCGAAGGGAGTTTGTGATATTGACATATATATTGTAATATTTCCACTTTTCACTTTTCATAGCCTCGTAGTAGGCAGCCGAGCAGGGAAGCAGTGAATTGAAGGGAGTTTGTCAGTTTGTGGTATTGTGTATAATTGATTAACTGTTTTTTCATTTTTGCAGCCGAAGCAATACAATAAAAGTATACAAAAGTACAGTCGAGCAGAAGGGAATTTCATTGTTGAAGCAAAGTGGGCCAGTCCCCACTCCCCAGTCCCTCCCCACCATCCATTCGTCATTAGTTGGGAAGTAATTCCATAATGTCCCTTCATCAAACATTCGGTAATCGGGATACCGGATGCATACCCGTACCGCAGCAATTCGGTAACCGGTGTACTGAAGTAAATTCGGTGTCGGCCAACGGTGGGACTGCTATGCTTCCCAGTATACCGGAAACCGGTAAGTTGGTAACCGATTTAACCGGTTACCGACCGTTTACCACCCCTACTCTAGTTTGCCGTAGGTGAAAGTTGTGGTCCAATTTTTCAAGCAAGACATTTATGGTATACTTTTGAAACTATTGGACAAATTTGGCCCGAGAGATAGTTTGACCATCATAATTGACGGTTAACAATGTAGTCAAAATCGCGCTTTAAAACTAAAAACTTATGCTTTTATGTTCTAAGTCACCAAATTTTGTTAATATAGTTAAAACGCGCTTTTGAAACTTATGCTTTTATGCAAAATCTCTATTTTTATAGCTAATATAGTTAAAACGCGCTTTAAAGCTTAAAAACTTGCGATTTTACGCTTCTAGATCACCAAAACATTTTTACTTTGTACCTCAATCTCCATTTAATTGTTTAGTTTCTGTATTTTTCAGTTCATAAATTCTTTTTTATTGTTCTGTTACAACATTTTTTGTTCGTGACTCATCCTTCGAACAATGTTAAGCAACAAAAGATCGGGCCTTTGTCAAATTACAAGCTATAACAGGACATGAAAAGTGTGATCAATGACCTTATTGGCACTTTCAATTTCTACCCCTGCACTTATAGAATGCTATCGTTTTTAAGCAGGTTCTTGCGCGAGTTGTAGCATGTCCACCCCTTGATGACGAGGAAGGGACTTTCTTCAACATGAGGGTAAGTCTTCCTCAATCTTGGTTGTTCACTTGACATGTCACACATGAGCGCTTGCTTCCTCAAATAGGATTTTATTGTTTCTTGCCTCGGATTCCCATATCAGTATTTCATTTCCTCAAATTTTGTTTGGCCACTGCCGAGTTTGCTTTGACGTAGGCATATAGATTAGAAAGATGACCAGGAAACTTAATTCTATGGTTCCCATGATTAGACTAATGTGGTGATGGGAAGCTCATTATGGCGAATCTCAATATTTTATTCAGGAATGGTTGAGTTTTATTTGGCTATCCTTTCAAATCTTCTTAAACTTTTTGATGAAGTTTATCCATTTCAATGTAGTTGACTCGATGGAGAGATGCATATGCAGAAACAGGGAGTTTAGGTAGATCTGCAGGATAACTAAAAAGATAAAACAGTGCCCTCAAATTTAAGTGATGTGTTGTCTGTTATTTCTTATTTGATTTGTTGATCATGTGGGTAGCGAGAGTAAGTTAAAGTTAAGGGTTGAAAAGAGAGCAAATTCATCAGGTATATCGCTGAAAAGGTGCTCATGGGCTCGCTATTGAAGCTAGATAGTGATCTCAGTGGGGCATACGATGACTAAGAAAGAGTCTTGCAGGAGTTGAGTTCCCTTAAACAACATCCACTAGAAAAAGGTCTTTTGCTATTACAATGATTCACGCTATTGGTTGTGCTATTTTCTTATTTAAGTGATTCTTTTGTACAATCAGTGATACGAATTGCTTGACTTTTAATGTTTCTCATGTAACATTGCTCATTCTAGAGAACTTATGACCTTGACTTTTTATGCATTTTTTTACCATGTGTTTGGCTGATTTCTTCTGAAGATCTACTATGTTTTTTTTTTGTTAATTTAGAAGTGAGGGGAATGTGAGAAAATGGATCAAGACTGTCAAATTGCAGAAGAGCTTTGTTAGAGCATCAGAAGGCTTGGATGTCACAACTGGATAAAACTCGCAAACAAACTATTAGAAATCAGGATGATGTTCTAATGGTCACTGGAAATCAAAGGAAGACTGGAAGGAAACAGAAGGTTGTGGAAAGCATGATCCCTTTTTTATATCCACTACGTATAAGAGATTTATAAAATTGAATGTAATGAGGGTTGATAATTGGTTCTTTAGATGTTGTATGGAGTTCTGATATCGAGTCTACAAATTAAGATAGGAATACAGTGTTTGCACCTCTTTTATTGTTTTCGAAGACAAGCAGGGTAGTATTCTTTCTAAGTTGAATTGGAATGTACAAGTCTGTCTGTATCTACTGCTTTGCTGCAGTATGCAGACACTTTTTTTTTGTTCTATGTGTATTATATATTTTGATTTAGTAGAGTGTATGATAAGAGTATACATCATTTTCTGTATAATAAGAATTCATCTTACATTCTTAATACTTGCATTATCTACTTATATTTTTAGTACATGTGTACTTAAAATACAACATTTAGAATAGAAGATTTCGAATACTATCTTAAATTTTACTTAAGTAAACAATTAGAATAGAAGATTTCGACTACTGTCTTAAATTTTACGCCTCTCAACGCGGAGCGCGGGCAGATAACGAGTTGATATTAAGTATCCAAATTTGTAATCCAGTTTGTAGACCTTATTGATGCTTGCTCTTTTTCCAGGCACTGCAACTTTTCTTGGGAACTTGCTCAGTGTGGGTTGGAAAGATTCACTACATTTGCAAAAAGCTATCGAGCCATTTGAAGCGCTATGCTTTCTCAAGTAAAGCTACACGCCTACACCTTACTACAATGTGCATTATTGATCATTCATGTGTCACTAGAGGTTCTCATTAAAGCGAAGCCACCATATCTTGTTCGTTATACTGCAAATCTTACATGCTCTGCCTATCTTGCCCACTTCTTATTTTTGTGTAATGCTAGTATCAATAAGTGGAAAGTCCCCCTGGTCTGCAGTTAGATAAAGTTGTAACTCATCCAATTCAATTCAGTTGAAGTTTATACTGCGGAAAGCCCTTAGACAATCTGGAGTCTTGGTTAAAGTGCTCTAGATCTCTTGAATAGAATACCTGGCGGGATGTTATCCTCCACCAAAATATACCACCAAGGCAATGCAAACAGACTCCCTCTACTGGATTTTGACCCATTACAGGGCAATGGATCGATTGACTCTCGAACGATCGATTCACTACTTCCAATTCAGGTTGCTCTATTGACCTATTCAGAGGATATCGGTCTAGGTCAAAGCAAGAAAAATACAAGTTTGATCAAGACTCATAAATTTTTGAATAATTCCTCAATTGAATCTATAACATCCAATAGTTATGAATATAGGTTCATACAATCTGTTCCTAACACAAAGAATTACAGTTCTTCGTACTCAAGTAGAAGAGAGAGGTTTTCTCCATGTAGAAAGGACAAAACACAACCGAAGTGGTCATACTAATGAGAATGTGTGAATAAGCTCTGGGATATCAATATGCCTCCGAGGGGCAAACTCCAAACTTCAATCATCAAATCTTAGCTCAAGTCATATCCAAGATCTTGTTGTTCGTGGCTTTCTCTAGGGCTCTTTTGGATAATTTCTTGAAGTGAAAATCGGATAGGTCATTGATAGTTTCATACGCTAAGAAAGTCGGGTTGGGTCGACCGGAACCGTTGCGTCGACCGGAACCGTTGCGTCGAAACTCTCACCGTCTCGTTCATTCCACTCGGGGTTCAGAAAAAAGGTTTAAGATCTCTAGGGTTTAAAAGCTTTCTGCAACTCTCACCGTCTCATTCATTCCACTCGGGGTTCAGAAAAAAGGTTTAAGATCTCTAGGGTTTAAAAGCTTTCTGCAAGTTCTCTCTGCTCCCCGAGCACAAGCTTCCCAGGAGGGGGAAAAATGGCAAGTTCGATGGCTGCTGTCTCACGCAGACTCTACCGCTCCCTTCTCTCGAACTCCAAGTCGTCTCAAATGTCCATGCCTTTCTGCACAACAACCGTCTCCTCTTTCGAGCACTCAGAAGCAGAGACCGAGACTCTCAACTCGGACACCGAGGCAGTTCCCAACTCCGCCGCTGATTCTTCTTCATCGTCGCCCCCCGCCGGCGAACGAGTGGTGTTTGATCGCCCGCTTGAGGGTGGCCTCGATACCGGAGTTTACAAGGTAACGATGTGAATCGAAATGTCAAAACTTTTCTCTTTTGCTTTTGGAAGGTTTTTCGTTTATTGTTTGTGGGGTTTTCCCCGTGCAGGCGATATTGGTGGGGAAAGTTGGGCAGAGTCCATTTCAGAAGAAATTGAAGGGCGGGAGAACGGTGACTCTGCTCTCCCTGGGAACCGGAGGGATTCGAAATAACCGTAGGCCTCTGGAGAATGAGGTGCCCAGAGATTATGAGAATCGATGTGCTGTTCAGTGGCATCGTGTCTCGGTTTACCCTGAGAGATTGGGGGATATTGTCATGAAGAATATTGTGCCCGGGTGAGTTTCTTACTGCTCAATGCTCCATTCTTGCTTTTTTCTGTAGCCTTGAACTGCACTGGTAGTAGAATACTCATTAGTTTCGTTCCTAGTGCTAGTTAAATCGAATGACGATATCATTTCCTAACCGTGTCTATGGCGAGAAGATTGCATACAATTGCTATAGTGAAGAACTGAATGGGATATTAGTTGTATAGCGTTAGGGAGTGATGCTGCATCGAGATTACTATAGGATTGTAGAGTTCATGATGTGGTTAAGAATAGAGAATACGAAGGTTTACCATCTCTTAGCTGCCTATACCGCACTGAAATTTATGTATGACTAAACTTCAACCTCAGTCCTTCTCATGATAGCTGGATTGATGTCTTAATGCCAACTAGTGGTTCTGAGTTCTGACTTGGCTTCTTTTTCCCCTGCACACATCTATTTTCTCTTGTGGCCTAGAATATCCACCCTTTTGGCTACCGTGCTGTTTAAAGCTGTGGTATATGTCCGCTATCCATAAAGAATATTTAGATCAAGGAGAGAGAAGAATCAAAACTCTGTATATGATCAAAACGAGCTGATGTGCTAAAAGCTGTTCTTGCTTTCTGAAACTCTCAGACTGATTAGGAATGCAAGTGATAGTTTGGTTTAGGCTTATCTTTCTCTCACTAGATGCTATTAGACCTTGGGTTTTCTAGCTAGATAGTAGGATTTCTGTTGTTATGGTCAACGAAATTGGAAACGATTGAATACCCATGTTTGGCTGAAGGAATTGCCATTTGCCAGTTACCCTTGGAAGTGTTGTTGTTTAGCAAGTGATCATTCAATTTGCTGCTCCTTGTACAGCTAATGATGTGAAGTCATGACCTCTGAGTTAAACTTCAAGCCCTCTAGCTAACGTTTATATTAATCTTTTGATTTCTTCTCCCTATCAACTGTTTTCTTCAGTTCAATTGTGTATCTGGAAGGAAATCTGGAGACCAAGATATTTACGGATCCGATAACCGGTATCGTGCGCCGTGTAAGAGAGATTGCTATTCGTCGAAATGGTATGTCTGTTCTTCTCGTCTCTATATGAAGTTCGAACAGTTATAATAAGCATTCCCTACAGTTGTGATTGATGCTGGTACCATCTTTCCCCTGGGAAGCAAGGTTTTTATCTTTGATTTGCAGATTAATAACCAACAGCTTGTTTGTGATATTATCAAAAGAATCGTCCTAGCCGCTAGGTCCATGTCCATCCTATTTCAACTTTCAAACCTTGCGCCGCAATATTCAACCACAAAAAATAAAAATAAAAAAGTGTTTCTCAACAATTGTTCCCTCTTAAAGGAGCAGAGTTGAACTGCTGTTTTAATGAAACAGGCTAGTCAGAGATAAATTGTTGGCCTGTTTTATCAACTGATGTGAAGATCTTAGACCTTATTGAACTTAATTAGGGTGGGATGTACAAGTAGTCGAGTACGATCTTATTCTTTTTGTCTCCAGATTCTGGTAATCGTAACTAACAAGTAACATCCAATCAAGACTGCGGAAGCCATGGATTAGCTAACTATCAATCTGGGTATGTTTCTTTCTCCAGGGAGAATCGTGTCGTTGGGAGGAAGAGATGACGCCCGCAAAGCTAGCCCGCCAGAGCTGAAAGGTGTTGGGTACTACTAGGAGTATGGTAGGAAGTGACCGGCCATTGTTGCCCCGAGAGTCGGCCTCAGACGATCGGATACTCTATATTGGTTTGATGTAGTAAAAGCTGCAGCAGTGAGTAAATCTGGCCAGTACAGTAATTCTGTAATTGCATTCTGCCATTTTCTTGGGCAGTTGAAAGATGCAACATGAAGTAATACTTTGCCGGTGACTGTCTGTTTCCTTGTGTTACTTTCATCTACTTCATTGAAAAACAGGCGACTCGGTCAAATGAGCAGCCTGCCATTGGAGAGCAGTTGGAAAGGGAAGAGTATGAATAAGGAAACCGTCCCGCGAGGATTCGTTATCTCTGGCGTCAGCGGCAGAACACAGAAAAGCATGCAGAGTCAGTCTTTGGCAGGACCAGCTGCCGTCGATTCGTCTCTCTCTCTCTCTCTCTCTTTTATTATTGTCTCGGAAATGCTTGTTTCAGCTTCAGGCTGGGAGTGGGAACTAGGACTAGATAGATACGTGGCAGGCAGTTATCCAACGTAGCCATGATCAGTGAACAGAACCCAGCAGTTGACCGCGCACCTTCACGCTCTCGCACGTCCCATCTCTTCTCATCGGTATTATTGTTAAACAGTTTTTTTTGGCGGGAGAGTATCTTTTTCCTGCTCAATCTCCCGCCATTGTTCGTTTTGGGGCAAGATTCAAGATCCAATAATGGTCTCCCAGCCTAGCTTCCTTCCTATATATTTTGGTGGACAAAGAAAACAGATCAACCGAGACGCCTAGGGTCGTATGTCAACTCATGTGAGTGAGCGACTACGAGGGAGGGACCCAATTTTACGTGGATCAGCCAGCCATTTGAGGCAAAGTAGGGGGGCAGGTATGCTCACTGCCGTCACTGAGGGGTGTGGTAGTTAATAACAAAAATTTCACTTCAAACTAAAGAAAATGGTTTCTCTAGATTGTACAACTTTAGGCAAATTTCATATCGATAGAAGAAGGAGAGATCCATGATTCACAAGTATGAAAACGATCTCAACTAATAAGATGAATTTTGGGATGAAATGAAAAGTTCTTGTAAGAAGCCTCGAAATTAAACGTGCTCACTGGAGAGCAATGTAAAGATGAGTGACATTTAAGAAAGTCACATTAATATTCACTCCAAACTAAAATCCGTATGAGTTTGGACCCAAACAATATCTTGGTCAGAAAAATAAATAAATAACATGATGTTGCAATCTTTATAGCTAAAAAAGTGTCGCTAAAAATGCCTGCGTCATTCAACCGGAAAAAGTGTCTACAACACAAGAAATACATTATTGATGAAATTATTTGTTCGTACGAATTCCAAAAGTCGAGGCTTACCGAGAACTTAGAAGAAACCTGGTCCAGAGAGGCCCTCACATCTTCCTGCATGCTTCTGAAGACATCTTGGAGCACTGCCTTGTGCTTCTCTGCGTTCCAGAGTTCCACCGATGGGTTAAGAAATTTGAATGAGTTAGTCAGCCATTTTTCATCCATGGTTGAAGGTGGAAGTGAAGCCACGACTACCCATTTGATGAGCAGCCAATTGAGATGGTCAATGTCGATTTGTGCTTTGGTTTCAGGTTGTGCCTTCTTGATTACAGTGATGGGTTGTGGTTGCTGATGTGGTGGCGCTGATGCGGCATAGACCGAGTCTACTACAGCGGCGGGTTTGTCGTAGCCCGGGTGGCGGTTGCTGAGGTGCCTTCCCAAATTGCCTGTGGCGGTGGCAATGGAATAGCTTTGTCCACAGAACTTGCACTTTCTACTCTTGCCATCTAAAGCAGTTTCGAAGTACTTGAGGAAAACTGATGTCATTGTCTTCTTTCGCTTTGTGTGGACTATAGAGTTGTTTCCCCTTTCCGAAGAGCCTAGGGCAATGTCGGCTGGATCAACTTGTTGAATGAGTGACATATCCATCACGGATTTTGGTTCCATTTCTGCTACGACAGACGAACAACAAAACTAAGAACCCCATTTCACGCCGTTCTTCATTCAATCGAATATGGTTACAGTAAGAGAAAGAAACTTGATAGGGAGGGAAATCAGGTGGTTACCTTTGTAAGTTTTGAAAGCGTTACTAGCATTCCAGTCCATGTGAGGTTAGCAGCAAGCAAGCAAAAGCAGCCTTTCTCAGTCACAGCATTTCCTGTCTAAGACATTACACCCACCAATCAGCCATTACAACCCAAATTAACAACATATATTCAAACCCTTCAAAGACCGAGGCTTTGGTTAAGCTCTTACCTCCAGAAGTTCAAGAGAAATGAAGGCTTAAAAGTTAAAAGTACACTCCCAATCGTCCCCCTTCGATCCTGAGTCTTACCCCCACAGAGTTCTGAGAAGCCAGACTCGAAAAGAACCCAAATTTGTACAAGCCCAGAATCGAAAATCTAGTGGGGATACAATAAAAATGATCTTCGAGTCGGGGGACTGTCTCTGCTTTCTTCAAGCTCCTTCAGCATTTACAGACAAGTGAAGAAGAAGCAGAGAAAGAGAGGGAAAACAGAGAGGGAGGGAAAATTTTGGGAAGGCGAAGAAAAAGGGAGCTGATGAGAAAGAGAGATGAGCTCTGGATCCGAGTTAGCCGGATCTGAGCCGCCGATCCAGACAAGCGCTTAAGCCTTAATGAGACCTAAAAAAATTGGAACAGAGAAAACGAACGAGAACTTAGATAAGCGACTCACTGAGCCAGCCAGCCAGCGGGATGAAAGCGAGCGAGAGGAAAGGGGAGAAGAAATGGAGGGTGTTTAAGTAAGATCAGCTTCAAATCAGATCTGCAGAGCCGCTATAAACAAAACTGGCCCGACTTCACTCAGTTCACGTCCGTTTGTATGGAGAAGGAAGGAAGAACGTGGCTTGACGGCGTCAGTTGACGTCGTTTGAACTGCAGTTACTGTGACGGAGAAGGTGGATGACTGAACGGTGATATTAGGCTCGGCTGGGCAGAGGGGCCCACCCCAGGGAAGAGGGAGCCGGCCAGCTCAACTTCGCTGTTTCTGGAAACATTATCATTTTTTCTTGGTTTAATTCACCCGCGTAGCCATAATTTTCACGGTTTTGACAAATATAGCCACTTTTTGAATATACACAGATGTAGCCATTTTCGTCCAATTCTTTGACAGTCACTTAACTCGCTGACTGGACTAACGGTCGTGGCTGATGTGGCGTGTTTTCTTTTGCATCTTTGCCACATGGAAAACAATTTATTTAAAAAAAAAAAGTCAAACGACAAGTCAACATGCCTTCCACATGGATGACACTTCATATTAAAAGATTAGTTTTTAGCAAAAAAAAAATTATTTTATTTTTATTCCTTTCTCCCCCATTCCACCGAGAGCTCTTCTCCATGGAACCATCTGGACACTCCACTCCGCCAATCTCTTCATCTTCCTCCATCGCCATCATCTCTCCCGGCCACGTTACACTTCCCAGCGAGTGATTTCTCCTCAACCCATCTTCATCTACCACCGATGAAGCCTAATCACCGTCCACCTACGAGCTCCCATTCTTCCTCCCAATTTGATTGAGACTCAATCCCCCATCGCAAAACCGCAAAAACCCAATACCCCATCCCAGATCTAAAGCTCCCACCCGCCATCTGCTGCGACACCACCACTAGTAGGCTACTAGCACTTCTTTAACCTCAAGCGGCGTGCTGCGGAGATGAGAGTTGATGACCCAACCTACAAAACAGGGGCAATGCCGGGGAGACGAGAAGAAACAGAGGTAAGCCAATAAGCGGCGACGGACTAATCTGAAAACCCAGTCGCTGAACCTGATAACCCAGTTGCTGTTGCAACCTCTTCCACACTAATTCGGAACCATCACTCACCCCCGAGAGAAAAAAAAATCTTTTGTAGGACCCCTCGCATCTCCTCATGTTGTTCCCCTATCAGTAATGGTGTGATAAATGGTGGTAGTCGTGGTAGCAACATCGGCAACGACAGAGGTGGCGGAGAAGTCTAGGGTTACAAAAGTCAATTCCGCAATCGACAATAGCGGTCGACATTGCCCAATCGACCCCTTCTTCTCCCATCGTACGAGGATGGAATGGGTAGAATTGGGGGTGTGAGAATCTGGATTGAAGATGGAAGGAAGAAGGGATTGAAAATGAGTCTCTGATCTATGAACCCTAGAAAATAAGAGAGGAAAGGGATAAAAACGACGACGATGAAGGAGAGAGAGAGTTAAATAAAAAAAATATTCTTTTTTTTTAGGAAAATAGTTTTTTTTCCCGATGTGGCGTCCATGTGGCTAACTCCATCCGGTTGGCGATGACGTGTCATCCATTTGGCGGACATATCAGCAAAACGTCCACTTAACTGACGGAGACGTTAACACCGTCAAATGTTTGAAGGGAAATGGCTAGATTAGTCCACAATGTTTGAAAAGTGTGGCTACCTCTGTGTATTATTCAAAAAGTGGCTATATTTGTCAAAATCGTGAAAGTTATGGCTACGCAGGTGAATTAAACCTTTTTTCTTTTACTTTGTATTGATGATATGCAGGCTTGAGACTGGAAATGGAGTGGCTCCGGAGTCCGGAGCCCAAGCCCCAAGGAAGGGAAACCTCAGATCATTCTTCAAAACAAAAACTCTTTACTCAGCCTTCCAATCTCCCATCAACTCAGCTCTTTGAACCAATTCAAATACAACGTTCAATATTTTAGGGTAGTTTGGTTTCGGTGATTGTTTACTTGGAATAGTTACAATACATGCATTGTTCATAATTTATTGTTTTTTTGAATTTTTTGCACAAACAATACATGCATTTTTTGCTTGATTTCACACAAACTATCACTCAAAATGAGTGATAGTTAAATCTAAATATTTTGTGAGATTGTTGAGATTGTTTGATTGGGATTATTATGGTTTTTTCTTTTTCCAACTATGTCCCTACCCTTTTATTTGTGTTGCTTTTTTACATTGAAAACGAAGGATAAAAGTGACATTTCACTAAAAAAATATAATTTATTGAAATACTACAATAACTATCATAAAAACCAAACGATGTAAACTACAACACATCAATTTTCTTATATACATGTATATTTTAATACATATATTAGTTACCCGACTTTTTTATTCTTTGGAACCTTCAGCTTAATCACCTACACATTCGATACAATTGGTGAATTCCAAAATCAAAAAGTTTCAGATCTTATACCTTACATCACTCTTCACTTTGAGGTACAACACAATGATTTATATTGTTTAGGTATCATTATGTAAATAGCCATATTAGTTGTCTGGTAATTAGGTTAGTGTTAACCCCATATATATAGTCGAACTCGGCTATTCTTTTGTAACGAATCTATCTTGATTATAGTGAAACCCTTTTGGAGAGCACAACCTCTCCCGTGGATTAGTTCTGATACTCAGGGATACCACGTTAAATCTTGGTGTTCGTTTGTTATAAGTTCGTACTAATTGACATGGTATCAGAGTCTCTGCTCTAAAGGTGAGTTGTTCTCCGGGTTGATTTTTCTGCTCGGCAAGTTGTTTTTTCGGCAGCAATAGATTTGTCTTGGGCTGCGTTGGAAATAAAGAAATAACCGACTAATATAATTGATGTTTGCATAACAACTATGACGAATTTTCATATTCTCAAAGCAATGCAAAATACATTCGTTGTCTATACTTTTAAGTAAGCCTCTTTCAATGTATCATATTAAACAATCACTAGCAAACTGATCGTCAATTTGACTTCGAAACTTGATATTAGTATAGTTCAAGCTAAAAATGTTATTTCTACCCTTACAGTTGCAACGGGTAGAACCAAACTAGTTTCATAAGTAAATAAACTGACGAATATGACTTATGTACTTTTGTCTCCATCATTATTCGAGATAATTCATCAATTTCTTTCAATTAATGAAGTCTCATAACATCATGATAATACCCAACAAGCTATTATTGAATAATTATTATGAATGAAACTAATAAATTAATTATTTTTTTTATCAATTATTAAACAAGTAATGAGCTATGATGTAGTGGCAAAATATCCTTATATTACTTGTGGTATTGGGTACACATATATGTGGGGTATTTTTTAGCAACCAAATATTACCCCTATCCTGGGACAAGGACAATATAGATTAGGTCCGCCTATGGCTTCAGCTGCGTTAGAATTGCTTTTGGGATTGGTTTTTTGGCTGCATTGGCTTTGGATTCTTGCGGGTTTGGTTATTCTTTGGCCGTGTTGGTTTTTTGAATTTCTTGCAGCATTGGGATTATTTATTTTGTGCAGCGTGGCTTCTCTTCGGTCGGTGGCGCTCGTTTTGCTTGCTGGGTTCTCTTCGTTTTCCTGGTGTGTGGTTGCTTCTGGTGGTATCCCATCTTGCGTTGGTTTTAGGTTGATTGTGTTTGTGTAGATGGATCTCTCACGCACTGATTTCGTCTCGATCAAGTTTGATGGCAGCAACTTTGCCATATGGGAATTTCATATTCAGAATTTTGTGCATGGGAAGCGTCTTCTTCAATTTTTGATAGTTGAACTCAAGGAGCCTGCTTTCGATGCGGCAGCGAAGGATATTGATGATTGGATGGCAGTCAATGCTCAACTCATCACATGGCTGGTGGGTTCGGTTGATATCCCCACTGCCCTCAGTTTACGCCGGTTCACCAAGGTTCATGATATGTGGCAACATATATGTCGTACTTATGCTCATAATAGTGTTTCTCGGCAGTTTGAATTGGAGACGACTATCACTCGTTTGGCGCAGGGAGATAGGAATGTTCGACGTTATTATCAAGCCTGTCTTCATCTCTGGACTGAATATGATCTATTGACTGCTTCTTTGGTTCCCGTTGTCGCTTCCGAGGCTGTCATTGCGGAGCGTGCTCGTACACGCATCCTTCAGTTTTTGGCTAAACTTCGGTTTGAATTCGAGCCCATTCGTGCCTCGTTGATTCATCGGGATGTTACTAATATTAATGATGTTTTTTCTGAGCTCATGCATGAGGAGACACGGCTTAAGAGTCAGACTTAGATCGATCATCCGAACTCCCTTACTGAATCGGCTTTTGCTGTTGGTTGACCCGTAGCCGCGTCTCGTCCTCAATTCGTTCCTCCTAGCTCGGGTGAGATCATTTGTCACTTTTGTCGGGAGCCATGCCACGTCAAGATTCACTGCAAGAAGAGGAATTTTGTAACTACTGTAAGCGTACGGGGCACATTGTTCTAGCTTGCCCGACGTTGGACAAGAAGGGCCACCTACGTCAGCTCCTGGACGCAACTCCTTCCCACGCGGTGCTGCCTATCATGTCACCATTAGATCGCCTAACGCGGCTGCTAATGCTGGGTCAGGGGCTGCGGCTTCCCTCTATGCGTATCAGATACAACGCGTGGTTCAAGAGGCGTTGCAGGCTGCTCTCTCTTCTGCCTTTGCCACGAGTCCTGCATCTGGTAAGTCCTTACATTAGCTTTTAGACTCAGCTGCTTTTAATCACATGACCCCTGATCGTATAGTTTTTAAAGCTTTGCATCCTGTATCTTCTATGAGTCTGCAAGTTGAAAATGGTGAGCATATATCTGTTTGTGGGTCAGACACTGCTCATACTACCTCGATCACTCTTCCCGACACGTTATATGTTCCTAAGTTGCACCCCCAATCTTATTTCGGTCGGGCAATTAACAGATGAAGGATGTAGTGTCAAGTTTGACTCTACTAGTTGTGTTGTGCAGGAGCAGATGTCGGGGAAGGTAATCGGGAGAGGCAGTAAACATGGT